GGGGCGTCCGAGGACCCCAGTGCCGTCTGTCGGGGGCCGTCCCAGCGCCCCCGTGCCCGCTGTCGGGGACCGTCCGAGCGCCCGGGTGCCCGCTGTGGTCCGTCCGAGCGCCCCGGCGCCCTCTGCCGGGGAACGTCCGTGGCCCCAGCGCCCTCTGCCGGGGTCGTCCGTGGCCCCAGCGCCCTCTGCCGGGGTCGTCCGTGGCCCCAGCGCCCTCTGCCGGGGTCGTCCGTGGCCCCAGCGCCCTCTGCCGGGGTCGTCCGTGGCCCCAGCGCCCTCTGCCGGGGTCGTCCGTGGCCCCAGCGCCCTCTGCCGGGGTCGTCCGTGGCCCCAGCGCCCTCTGCCGGGGTCGTCCGTGGCCCCAGCGCCCTCTGCCGGGGTCGTCCGTGGCCCCAGCGCCCTCTGCCGGGGTCGTCCGTGGCCCCAGCGCCCTCTGCCGGGGAACGTCCGAGCGAACGCCCCAGTGCCCTCTGCTGGGGTCGTCCGTGGACCTGGTGCCCTCTGCCGGGGTCGTGCCCGCTGCCGGGGTCGTCCGAGGCCCCGGTGCCCTCTGCCGGGGTCGTGCCCTCTGCCGGGGTCGTCGCCCCACGCTCTCCGCCCTGTGCCGACGGACCTAGAGAACTGACGCGTCCACCGTGCGCCCTTCTGTGCCGGGTACTAACGAAGTGCCCCTGAGAGCGAACGGGTGACACTTTCTGAATTAAAATCTACACATGCACACGCATTCATATTTACTGTTTCTAAGATTTAAAAACAAAACGAAAATACCGTTAGGCAGATGCGCGGGAAAGATTCCGAGAAGGGGAGAGCGAGCTGATTTCCGTATTTGGGGAGCGCCGCGGCAACGCTTCCCCTCACGCTGTCCGAATCGACTTGGTCACGCAGCCGGGTCATCTTCCTCGTGTCAACCTGGTTCCCACAGGCCCACGGCTGAAATTCGTGTGATGTCATTGTCTCGTTCCGAAATTTCTCAGTGCAATGAACATTTATTCATTCATGGAGTGACAGACAGGGAAGGTTTTTGCCCGTAATTATAGCACCTCTGTTCCAGAAGAAAATTCTAGCCAAAGGCCTCAGCACAGCATGTAAATCTCTAAGTCCGGAACCCGGCCTGCCATCTGTTGTCTCCTGTCCCCAGTGCCCTTGGCCTGCAACGCCGCCTGCCTCGCAGCCCCACCTGCAGCCTTCATCCATATGTACCATCTATTAACTCTTCAAATCTCACAGAACGAACTCATCTTTCACACTAATCAACACACAGGCACACACACAAACTAAAAGGCCCTTCTGCACGCCCAAAGTGACAGTAGACGTGATCTCATGCATGCATGTGATTTCAACAAGGCAGTCTAAGCCTGAAAAACGACAGCAGAAGCATAAACAAGGCAACAACAACAAAAAACACACCCAGCTTGTATCTCAAGAGGAAGAGCCAGTGCTTGGGCAGCGGTCCAGCCACAGCTGGTTTCCTCCTGCTTCACAGATAGTAGAAGAATTACTGTAAATGCTGAAGTTCATCAATTAGTGCTAAGCATTCTGAGTGAATTTCTTTCATTTCTTTGTTCTCTCTCCTCAACCTTTCCTGTTTTTGTCTTTGATAGAGCAGAATTTGTATTATTCTTAGTTGTATGGGTCTCTCCATAACAGACGATGTACTTCTTCTAAACGAAATATGTCCCACCCAGAACTTACAGATCATAGTACATAACATCTGCAAGATGGTAGCACTTCAGTAAACATTAATGAAATTTAATAAAATCTGATGTGTGCTTAGAAAACCTGGATTGTACTTAACTCTATGATTAGAGATCCAGGCTTGAAAGAAAGAGAAAAGGCAATGATCTGAATGAGGTCAGTTTGTGAACGTATATCAAACAGTAATATCAAATTATATGTAATTTATCCTTGACTATTATAACTTTAGCAGATGGCAATGAAGTCCTTTAATATTTTCAAATCTTGAAATGGCATCCATGACCAAGAAATTTTACACTTTCTAACGGTAATACAGAATAAGTCAAGAACAAATCTAAGTGAAAAGCACATAAAAAATGTAAGAAATAAAAAGTGAAAGAGGTTCAGGTCAAATAGCCTTTCAGAAAAATTTTCTAACTAGTCAAAGATCCAAGGAATTAGCTAATCCCACAGAAAGTGTTAAGCTACATAGTTAATACTTTACCAACTATAAAATTTGTGATAACCATTATAATTGCAAAAATTGAGGCTGTGTATAGTCTTACATGAATTCATTCAGAGATCCAAATTGATATGAAGAAACCTCATTTGGGATTGCTAGCAATTTTTCGTATGTTCTTATTGTTAAAATAATGTGCTATCTCTAAAAAACGGAAATTTCTGCCTTCTTCAAAACTAATATTCTCCTAAAAATTTGGCAAAAGTCTGAAAAATTGAGGTAATATCTATAAAAGTTTGATTAGAATTTCATCTAAAAGTCCCGCCTGAAACATATTTTTGTGGTCTTTCTCTCTCTCTCTCTCTCTCCTTTTTTCTTTCTTATTTCCCACTTATAAGTGAGGACATGTGGTATTTCTCTTTCTGTGCCTGGCTTATTTAACTTAACATAATTTTCTACAAGCTCATCCATGTTGCTGCAAATGGCATAATTTCATTCTTTTTTATGGCTGAGTGGTATTCCATGGTGTATATATACCACAGTTTCTTTATCCAGGTGTCCACTGATGGGCATTTAGGTTGGTTCCATATCTTGGCTATTATTTCATTCTTTTTTATGGCTGAGTGGTATTCCATGGTGTATATATACCACAGTTTCTTTATCCAGGTGTCCACTGATGGGCATTTAGGTTGGTTCCATATCTTGGCTATTATAAAAAGAGCTGCAATGAACATGGGAGTGCAGGTATCCCTTCAACATGATGATTTCCATTCCTTTGGATATATTTCCAGTAGTGGGATTGCTGGATCATACAATAGTTCTATGTGCAGTTGTTTGAGAAACCTCCATACAGTTTTCCAAATTGGTGCACTAACATACAGTCCCACCAACGGCACAAAAGGGTTCCCCTCTTCACATCCTTGCCAGCACTTGTTATTCTCAGTCATTTTGTTAGTAGCCAGTCTAACTGGGGTGAGATGATATCTCAATGTGGTTTTGATTTGCATTTCCCTGATGATTAGTGATGTTGAGCAGTTTTTCATGGACCTGCTGGCCATTTGTATATCTCCCTTTGAAAAACTGACTTAGCTCCTTTGCCCATTTTTTAATTGGTTTCTGGATTTGGGAAAAGGGGAGGAGGGTGGAGTTTAGAAAGAAAGTGGGTAAGGGACACAAAGAATAATTAATAATTTGTAATGATGAACATGCTAATAATATTGATTCAATCATCACATATGTACACAAATGCTGATAGTTGACTCTGTACCCCATAAATATGTGTAATCAATTATGTTTCAATTAAAAAACAAACTTAAAAAAGGAAATTTTAAAAATTTTTTAAGTAAAAAAATAAATGATATTCATCTAATAATGATTTTTTTCTGGGTGACAGAATTTGGGGAGAATTTTTTTATCTTCATCTTTATACTTTTCTCTTTTTGAATGTATTATAATAAGCACAAAAATAATGTTATTTTTTAGAAGCATAAGTATATACTAAGATGGTAAATATTTAATACAGGGAAGTGAAAATATGGATGACTTATTTTTGTACATTTCAATATTGCTTAAATAAAAGTTACATTGATAAAAAATATAAATTTTTAATAATAAGATCATAAGATTATAAATACTTGGGTATTTAGGAAGTTACTGGGAGACACAATAGAGAATTTCAAGTATTTCAATTTATTTATTGTAAATGGTATATTTATATATGTATATATAAACAAACCAAAAAGATTTTTTAAAAAACTAATGAAATTCAGTTAATAAACCTATCATTAAACTTTATTATGAAAGGTTATGAAAAACTTTTGTTTAAAATTTTACTGTCCATACCATTTCTTCATAATAAAAATTCATTTTTTAACAGCTGAGACAATAACTCAGAGACTTTTCATACTTCATACTAACTTTTTCATACTTATCTAGGAAATCTCATACTTTCTTCTATTCTCCAGCCTAATTTCTATGAAAACATTAGTGTCAACAGAGACATGATCCAGCACATCTTAGTAAATGTAAACATTTTAAATTATTTAATTGCAAGCTTTGAAAATTCATATTTTAGACTTAAAGTGCTTATGAAATTCTCAAGTGGTTTTGTAACAGCTCAATTGATTGAAAATATTATTATAATTGTTCCGGCTTTATTATAGCCATAAATCAACAGCGTATCTGATTAGATCTATTAAACACCTCAGATCTTAAAGCTTATAATTTATTTAAAATAATGCTATTATAAAAGGATGACAGGCTTTAACAGGATTCATAATAGAAATTCTATTATTAAATTAATTTTTCTAATAGTCATTATCTATAGTTGAAAGATCATAAAAATGGAAGCTATTAACTGTGTGTGAATACACACACTCTTTTAGTATATTTTGTACTTTCAAAATAATATTAGGATGTCTTAATTGTTGTTCTTGTGCATTCTTTTGAAGACAGAATATTTGTTTATTCATATAGTGAATGAGAGACAAGATTCTAGTGTATGATAATTATTAACCCGTGCAAGATGAAAAATATTAGATATTATTGGCAGCTAATTATTGAGTTTTCATAGGTGTTAGATTATCACATGTTCAATGAGAAACTACGTTAATGATAACTAAGACCAAAAATTCAGAATAACATTTAAGCACATAATGACAAATCTTACACCAACACAGCTGAGAATCATTGCAATAACATGTTCAAAATAACATAATCCATGTTAAATACATTAAGCTCACAGATGACCAAATAAGACTTCTTCAGTAATGGAAATCGAAACATTACTCTAAATTCCCGAGCTTTACCCTATTTCCTTGTATTTCTCAACACCCACACTCAGTTTCTGTTTTTCTGTGTTAGTAAAGTTTGTTTTGTATCTTGTTTTCATTGATAGTTACAACAGGAAGAAAGGCTTTTCAAGAAAACATCAGAAAAAAAAGTATTAGCTCAGTTCCCTGAAGACATTTACAAAAGAAGGGTAAAAAGTCAAGTGAGGGAACTATATAAAGGAGGTGCAGGAGCAGGACGAGCAGGAATTAAGTTTCCCTGAGATGATACTTTCGGTTGTGGTGGAGGTGGCCTGTGAGGAGGAAAAAAGATAGTTAATAGTGTGTTTGGAAAAAAGATAGTTAATAGAGGGAAATAATGCTATGTTCATTGCAAGCTCAACCTAACACCATCCTCAGCATCCCTGACAATAGATAAGGGTTCTTTATATTCTAAGATTATATGATATTATTGGCTAACCAATATGAAGCAACGGTCAAAAGGCTCTAATTAGAGTCTGAAATGGAATAATTACCTTAAATTAATATAACTCCATACTCAACAATGTTGTATGAAGGTTCTAGTTTATGTGTTTTTAAAAAGAATAGCACATGAAATTGTAAAGCCAAATTGTAAAAGACAAATGAGGACACTAAGTGGATTAAGCACTTTCTTGTGCAGATAGAATTAAGGACAGCAATTTACTGCTAAGTGTAAACCTAACTCTGTGCTGACATAAACAGAGATAAAATTACAGCTCCCTCAAATATAATATCCACTTTGAGAATTAAACCTGCTATTACTTCTATACCTGTCCCTCTCAATCCTCATACTTTAACCTGTGGACACCCATCCTTAACAGCTTCATCCAATTCTAGTTTACCTCTACTCCAGTAACACACTAGAACACTGCCTGGTGAATATCTGTTTCACAATTTATAAAGTCTTCTCTTGATCCTCATATGGATTTTAATGTACTCTTATTGCATAATAAATATTATATATGAGGACACTCCTCAATGTTGCAATACAATTACAATTTTGAAGGACTTTGGGGAATAGGAAGGGTTAGATGCATTTTATGTGTTGCAAAATGTAGTAATAGATTTTCTCTTTTCCTGCTGATTTCAAGCCCATTCATTGAGTCTTTAATTAACTTCAGTTCTTGTGTTTTTCAGTTCTAGAATTTGCATTGGTTTTTTTGTTTGTTTCTAGTTCCAGGCTGAAATTCTTGATCTTGACTATTAATTTCATGACATAATCATCATAGTTATTTTAAAGTCCCTGTCTGATAACTCTTAACTGGATACCCTCTCAGTCTGTTTCTATGGTCTCTTGCTTCTGGGTTTTGGTCCCATTTTCCTTTCCTGTATGCCTAGCTTTTTGATTGGGGCCAAACATAAAAAACTGTACAAATCAGTTGAGGGTCTAGTTCACTCTTACTCCTAGGTCCCAACACAAAGCCTGGGATGTCTGCCAGAGTACCCCCCTCCTTACAGGAGTCCAGTTTTTTATCCCTTCTGCCCTATGAGTTTGTTGAAAGCACTCCTCAGCTTCCTAACTTCTCCGTTGTCACTTTCAGGACAGGCAGACACAAGCAGGACAGACAAGTGGCCCCCAAAGTTGGGATCATGTCTAGACTTCCTTCCCCTCCTGGACTTTATCCACACAATTTCTCACCTCCTTGGTCTCTTATGGAGGTGAGAATACATATTTCAAATACATATTTTCTTATATTGTCTAGCTTTTCTAGCTGTTCTTAATAGGAAGGTCGGTCCCACCCTTCTGGTTTCCTATTGCTGGTTATTTTAAAGGCCCTTGCTTCTGACTGTTACGTACACCAAAAGCTGTAGCAGCATCTGATTGTATGTCTTGCTCAGATTTCTTTGAAATTTCATTTTGACACTGCACTAATAGAAAAAAATTTATATAAAATTTCTTTCAGAGCCTTTCTACAAATCGTGTTTTATCTAAATTACTGGCAATAAACATCCTGCCCTAAATTACATTAAATCAGAAGAGAGACTGTTAGACATTAACCCTTAGGTTTTATTCTGGTCAAGTAATCTAAGCAAATTCACTTCTGACCTTGATGGGAACTGCTGAGGCTGCTTGGCTGCATAGGTTGGTACTGGAAATCTGTTTGCATATATAGGCTAAAAGAAACAAACAAACAAAACAAAGATATTATTACCACAATGTAGTCATAAATATATTTTCTACATAAAAATAATTAATATACTTAAAATCAGTAAACAAACTCCTTACTTACAATGCTAACATCTAAAAATATTTTGCTTATTCAACGTCTTTACCACTGAATGTGAAATACTTAATTCTTTTAAGGCTGTATTTTTTCAATTCTATAACACTAAAGCATTATAGTCTTGGCTCAAATCAACTCAATTAGTATGAAGGTAACATATTTCCTATATTTTAAATAAAATCTTCCAAAAATTTATTGCTAAACCTCTACAGTACCTAACCGGTACTGTAAATACCACTAATCTACAAGCCTTGATTTTGAAATTCATTATATTCTTCCTTGACAAAGTAGTTGAAATGAAGTTTTGCAACAAAATGAGACTATATAACTCAACCATAAATAAGAAAGTAAAAGTAAAAATATTCTTCAGATACCACATTACATTAGGAAAAGCTGTGGAAGATTGGATGGAATTACTAACTCAATGATGAGGGGATCTTGACCAAGCTGTCCTCTACTATCTGCTGTTAATTGCTACAGCTCTATGAGTGGCACAATGTGCACAGTGTTGGAGAAGACCTTGAGCACTCTCCGGGTCCTGCCAGGAAACAGGTGGTCTATCACCTACTGTATTCTTCACAGAATGATTTGCATGTTCTGTGAAAATGGAGAAGAGATGCAAGAAAATGTCTCCATCCCTTTCCACCAAGCCTTTGGAGCACCAATTTTAAGGTATAAATTCCACTTTTTGGAATGACAATTGGGTGAGGTGATGATTATGTTAATTAGCTTGCAATCTAATTACACCATTGATCAAAACATCACATTGTACCCCATAAATGTATACAATTATGATTTGTCAATTAAAAATAATATTAATAAAAAAATGTTTAATTCCATTTTGGGGAATTTATGTGACATATACTTTCTTATAATTTATTTTTTAATTAAAATGTATTGTTTATATATTTATGGGACACAGAGTTATATTTTAATAAATGTATGTAATGTGTAATGATCAAATCAGGGTAGGTAACAAATTCATCATCCCAAAAATGTATCATTTGCTTTGTGATAAGAATATTTAAGAGTGTCTCTTCTAGCTATTTGATAACATACAATAAATTATTGTTAGTTATAAACTCCTAGCACTACTGTACACCCCTAGAACTTATTTTTCCTACCTAGCTGTAATTTTATGTCCATTAGCCAACCTTTCCCCATCCCTCCTTCCCTCTTTCCTTTCCCACCTCTAGTAACCACAATTCTACTCTCAACTTCTAAAAGTTCAACTTATTTTTTTCAATATCCCACATGATTGAGAACATGTGGTATTTATCTTTCTGTGTTTGACTTATTTCACTTAACATAATGACACACTTTTACAAGTATGCAAAGACCTATGTACAAGGAAGCTTGATGCCATGTTTCTTTGTAGTAACAAGATTTGAAACTAACTTTAAATTTATGGTAAATCCATAAAAAGAAATAGTATGCAGTTGTAAAAAGAATGGGATAGATGCTCATTATTGTCAACAGTGAACTAAATGACCAGAGAAACTTCCCAATATACAGCACCTAAAATGGTTAAAATATTAAAAAGGCATTTTTTAATGCTTGGCTGAGTTAATGAGAAATAAGAAATATCTTAAAGGTCAAAAACAATAAGAAAATATGGAAGAGTCCAGAGTGCAGAGCAGCATTTGTCCTGTGAACATCTTCCCATCATGGTAGGCGATGGTATGTGCTTTCAGATAACACAGACAGCCTGATTCAAACTGGGCAGTTTGGCTCACAGTCCATGCTCTTAATAATTAGATGCATGGCCTCACAAATCTAAGCAAACATTCCATAATACAATAATAATATCTATATCATAGAATTTTTAAAAAAGAATTGAAATATCATACAAAAACAGCATATAATGAGTAGAAGGTGATCAGAATTAAACCATTTTAAGGTCCCTATGTTGTTTAGAAGAAGGGTAAACATATTAATTTTAGGCGTTACGTTAAATATGCATGTTAAAAATTGTAGAAAAATCTCCAAAAAAGAGATTTTTATCTAGTTTTCTAATTTATCTAACAATGCATCTAAATACTAGCACAGGAGGAAAATAAAGTATGGCAGGAAGGGAACTAAATCAATCCAAAAGAATACAAGAGGAATTCAGTGTGGAAAAGTAACAAGAAAAGCATGAAAATAATGAAATCACAAAATAATATGATAGAAAAACTATGTTAATAATTATAATCAATGTAAATGAATTAAAGTCTCCAGTTAAAAGACAAATATTTAAAAAAATAAAAATCTAGAATTTTCTATTTACAAGATATAAGGACAAAGAAAGTTTGCATATAAAAAAGATATGAGGTAAATATCATCCATAACAGAAAAGCTAATATTGCTGTATTAATATCAGGAAAAAATGGATTTGAGAGGAGAAACTGTCTTTCCTGAGCTAATACATAAACACTCTGACGACCAAAAGCTTAAAACCTAAAAACATCTATCAGGGACTACCTTAAGGACTTCTAATCAACAACATGAAAGATGTTATCTGGAAGAACAGAGAGAAAATTTAAAACATGCTTTAATTGAAACTGAAAGTTTTTCCCCTAAAATCAGGACTACAGCAAGAATGGCTGCTTTTACCACTGCTATGTAACATTGTACCAAAAGATTTAGCCAGAGCAATTAAACAAGAAAAAGAAACAAAAAGCACCCAAACTGGAAAGAAAGAAAGAAAAGTACCTCTATTAATAGATGATATGATCATACAGAGAGAGAATATCCCAAAGAATACACAAGATAGTTACTAGAGCTTATCAATGAATTCAGCAGAGTTGCAGGGTACAAGATGAACATGCAAAATACAGTTGCATTTTTATACACCAGCAATAAACAATCCAAAAAGAAAATTTAAAAAGTAATTCCATTTACAATAACATCCAAAAGAATAAAATACTTAGAAATAAAATTAACCAAGGAGATGAAAGACTGGTACACTGAAAATTACAAAACATTCTCAAAAGAAGTCAAAGTACACATAAGTAAGAGGAAAGAAACTAACATTCATGGATAGTAAGTCACTACTGTTGAGATATCAATACAACCCAAAGTGATCTACAGATTTAAAATCTCTCTCAAAATTCCAACAGTCTTATTTTTGTAGAAATTGAAAATCAGATTCTCAAATTCATATTGACTTGTAAGAGGGCCAGAATAACCAAAACAATCTTGAAAACAAAAGAACAAAGTTGGAGCATTCACAATTTGCAATTTCAAAACTTACTAAAATGCTACAGGAATCAAAATAGTATAGAACTGACATGATGAACATTAAGACCAATGGAATAGAACAGAGAGTCTGAAAATAAACTTATACATCTATTGACAACTGATTTTACACAAGGGTGCCAAGTCCATTCAATGGAGACAGAATAGTCTCTTCAAGAAATGGTACTGAGATGGCAATCTATTCTTAGATATGATACCAAAAGCACATGGAACAAAAGAAAAAAAAATAGGTAAACTGGACTTCATTGAAATTAAAATCTTTAGTGCATCAAAGAACATTATTGAGAAAGTGAAAATACAATCTACATAATGGGAGAAAATATTTGCAAATCATATATCTGATAAGAGGTCAATATCTATAATATAAAGAAATGCTACAACTCAATAAAGATGAATACACCATTTAAAAAGTGGGCTAAAGACTTCAATAGACATTTCCCCAGAGAATATATATAAATGGCCAATAAGCAAATGAAAAGAGGCTCAACATCATAAGTCATTAAGGAAATTCAAATCAAAACCACAATGAGGTACCACTTAATATCCACTAAGTTGTCTATAATAAAATTTTTACAAAAACAAAAAGCAGTTGGTGAAGATGTAGAGAAACTGGAACTTTCATACATTGCTACTAGGAATGTAATACGGTGCAACCACTGTGAAAAACCATTTGGCAGTTCCTCAAAAAGTTAAGTATAAAATCATTATGTGACATAGCAATTCCACCTTTATGTAAATAGCCAGAAGGACTGAAAACAGGAACTCAAACAAGTACATGTTCATGGCAGCATAATTCACAATAGCAAAAAGAGAGAAACAACCCAAGTGTCCATCAACAGATGAATGGATAAACAAAATGTGGTATATACATGCAATGGTGCTGTGATCTGAATGTTGGTGTCCCCCCAAAATTCTTATGTTATTAAGAGGTTGGGTCCTTAGGGGTGATTAGGTCATAAGAACTCTGCCCTCATGAATGGAGTTAGCACCCTTATAAAAGACACTTGAAGAAGACTTTGCCCCTTCTGCCATGTGAGGACACCACAAGAAGGCACCATCCTTGAAGCAGACAGTGAGGCCATACCAGAAAATAAATCTCCCTGTGCCTTCATCTTGAACTTTCCAGCCCCCAGAACTATAATAAATTCCTGTTGTTTATAAATTACCCAATCTAAAGTATTTTTTATAGAAGGCCAAACAGATTAAAACAAATGGAATATTATTCAGCCATAAAAAGTAATAAAGTTCTCACATGCTGAAACATGGATAAACCTTAAAGACATTATGCTAAGTGCAATAAGCCAGGCACAAAAGGACAAATATTGCATGATTCCACTTATATGAGGTAACTAGAATAGGCAAATTCATAGAGACAGAAAGTAGAATGGTGGTTTTCAGAGGCTGTGGTTAATGGAAAAGGGGAGTTATAGCTTTCATGAGTACAGAGTTTCTGTTTGGGGTAATGAAAAAAGTATTAGAAAAAGATAGTAGTGATGGAGCACAACATTCTAAATCTAATTAATGTAAATGAGTTGTATTCTTAAAAATGGCCAAAATGCCAGAGAGTCCACAGTATCACAGACACCTGGGGGAACTCCTGGGTAGAAACTGGCAAACCTCCATCAGTAAAAGATTGCACAAAAGAGCTCA